TGGTTGGTGAAGTAAAATGTGCTTAAGAATAGATATTTAATCATAATATGAGACTAACACCCAATGACAGTAGAGGCAAGGGCCAGTAAGATAGCTCCATGTTGAAAGCCTGTCTTATGAGCTGGGGGAGAAGGCAGCTGGAATAGAGAAGGGATCAGTAAGTCAATGAAGGTTGGAGGGATCACTCAGGATAGGAAATGTGTACTGAAAGTAGATAAAGGACCAAACATGATGGCCTCTCATTATCCGTATTGCAAGCCATAATGCCCATAAGTAGAAAGAGATTAAGAGGGCAATTGTCTGCCATAGAAGTGGGGGAGGGGTGGGAAGGGCTAGAGCGGTTGAATATTTGTGGTGGAAAATGACACTGAAGGGATGTGTGTTTGATCATTGTATGACTGAAACTCAAACATGAAAGTTTTGTTACTGTATCTCATGGTGATTCAATAAAAAAAAGAATAGATATTTACTCTCACAAATCTAATGTTATAATAATTCTCTCAAATAAAATGAAGGGCGGGAGCACACACTCTGCCTGTGGGAGGGCAAGTGTTGATCCCCAGCACCACATGGTACCTCATGACATCCTGGGGTGATCTCTGAGAACCAACATCTGTAAACACTGCCATCCCTCCAGATGACAAAAAGATTACTTGATCACTTGACATCCTGTTGCTCATCCATTTGCTTGAGTGGGCACCAGTAACATCTCCATTTGTCCCTGTCACGTGCTAGTATAGCCCAATGGTGTCTGCTCGCTCCAGGAACACAAAGAGCCTCAAACTGATCGTTCAGGGTCTTGACAAAGAAGTCTGACCAACTCGTAGGTGGGCAGCCATGCAATCTTTTGAAGTCCTGTGGAATCCAGTCGGTAACGGCTCTAGTCCAGCAGTCATCTCCAAATTGCATTACGTGTCCGGCCCATCTTATTTTTGATGCCTTGGCAAATGAGACCATATTCCTGATTCTTGATCATCGAAGGAGGTTGGAACTCTGGATTCTTTCTCTCACTTGAGTGAAGCGTCATACTCCAAGCACAGCTCTTTCGATTCCTCTTTGGGAGACTCATCCTGTTTTCGTAGGGCCGAGATCTCTGAGGCATATGTTAATGCAGGAAGAACAGTTGAATCGAAGAGGTGTGCCCGGAGCTGAAGGATCTTCGTGCTCTTAGCTGTTTCTTCGATACTCTTGAAAGTGATTCAAACCACTCTCTTCCTCTTGTGCAACTCAAGTGCCAGATCATTTGTCATGTTGACTTCTTGACCTAGGTACACATAACTGTTGCATTCAGAGATGTTCATTCCATCAGGAGTGAATGAAATATCACGAATGAGACCGTTTCTCATAAACATTGTCTTTGTAAGATTCAGCTGTAGTCTAACCTATCCACACTCACGGTCGAAGTCGGCCAGCATTTGTACCACTTGGCTAATGTTTGGCGTTATTAGAACAATGTCATCAGTGAAGCAGAGGTGGTGTAGTTGCCTACCGTCTATCTTCATTCCTATTCCTTCCCATTCCAGTCATCACATGATGTTCTTGAGGGTGGTACTGAAGAGTTTTGGTGAAATGTTATCACCCTGACGAACCCCTCTCTTGACATGGATGATCACTTCCTTGTAGAACGGTGAGATACTGGTAGTGAATCTATAATAGAGCTCACGGAGGATCCTGATGTATTGAGTTTGAATATCCTGTTTGGCTAGGGCTTCGATGACTGCCTCAGTCTCAACAGAATCAAAGGCCTTCTTTAAGTCAATGAACGTTAGACAGAGTGGCATCTTGAACTCCCGAGAAACCTCAATGAGCTTGGTTATCGTGTGGATGTGGTCCACCGTGCTGAATCCTTTGCAGAACCCGGCTTGCTCGCATGGTTGTCCTTCATCTAGTGTTCTGCCAATCCTATTTAGGATGACTCAAGTGAACAGCTTTTTGACAACAGACAACAGGCAGATCAGGCGATAGTTGCCAATGTCGTAAATGTCTCCCTTCTTGTACAGTAGTACAGTACTGCTGGTTTTCCACCTTGCATTCATACAGGTAGCATGTAAAGAGCCGAGCCAGTGTATTGATGAGTACTGACAGCAGGTTCTTCAGGTGTTTGGGTCTGACCTTGTCTGGGCTGGGTGCTGTTTGCTTCTTTACCAACGAAATGGCGAGTCAGATTTCGGAAGGGAGAACATTGGGAACGACATATCCATCCTGCGGAATTCGGTATATGGGCAGGTGGATGTGGCTATCAAAGAGATCTGAATAGAAGTTATAGATAATCTCCATTGCCCCTCTGGAAGATGTGATAGATCCATCAGGACATCGGAGGGCAGTCATCTTGATCTTGTAGTAGATGAAGGACAGGTGGGGGTTGCGAATGCTTTTCCCGGCTTCTGCCACATCTGGCAGCACTGCTGCTCTTCTCTCTTTGAGGTCTTTCTTTATCGCTTCTTTGCACTGCTTTGCAAGCTCGGATGTTCACTTGAGGTTGCCTGAGGCTTGCGCCAAGCCACATTGGCAAATGAGCTCGAGAGTTTTCAATGACAGGCGTCTTTTTGTGGCTATCTCATGTGATAAAAAGATAAGTAATTTTATTTGCTTTATTTCAGTTTCAAGTGCAATGTTTGCTGTTCCTTGGTGCTGGAAGGTAGCATATGACTAGCCATTTTTTTTTTTTAATTCTTACAGGCACTGCCTTCCATGGGAGATGCAAAAATTAAGTCTGGCAAAGATTTTCATTTTCTCTCTGCAACCAACAAGCCAGAACAAATGTGCTGGTTCAGAGAAAGGAAAGGTCAGTTTAAAATGCCAGCACCTATTGTTTACTGTACAAAGAGCCTGGCAAACCATTGGGAACACTGTGAGCTATTTTGATTACAAGAAAGAGGAGGAAGGGCCTTACTGCACAGTAAATCAGAGCTATACTGCAGTTGATAATAGCTTTCATCTTCCAGGCCATTATAGGTCTAGTCTAGCAAAAATTTAATTTTTTTCAAAGCCATTCAAATTTACTTTGACCAGAAATGACATTTTCAGAGATAAAATGAAAGTGAAATTGTGAAATTATTCCTGGGTATGGGGGGCGAGGGATGTGTCAGATAAGTGTGGCACCTTTAAGAGCAAAGCTCCGATTCCTGCCTTCAGTTGCATTCACAGGGGAGCCCAGTGGGGGCTTTTATATCCTTTACCTCTCCTGAGTTCTTGATGCTGCCCTGGCATTAGTTATTCCCTGCAGTTTAAGCAATAGCACAGCAGAGGTAGACGAGGAAAGGTGGAAACCCATCCCAACAAACTTCCGTTTGTTTAGGATGGTAGAGACTTGATTTTTTTGTTTGTTTTTTCCAACATACTAGTCCTATGAGCTAGAAGTTAACACAAGCAGATATTATATGAAGGGGCTGTTTTCACTAATAGGGTAGGGTAAAATCATTTTTATTTATTTATTGCTTTTTGGGTCACACCCGGTGATGCACAGGAGTTCTCCTGGCTTTGCACTCAGGAATTACTCCTGCCAGTGCTCAGGGGACCATATGGGATGCTGGGAATCGAATCCGGGTTGGCCACGTGCAAGGCAAACACCCTACCCACTGTACTATGGCTCCAGCCCCGGTAAAATTATTTTTAAACTATATTCAGAACTGATGCTGGAATCAAGCAGGGACCCAGATGAATGGGATGTGGGCCTAACCCTGTTCCACCCCGCACTCTATAAAAACTTCAATTTTGTGTCTCATATGTAGAACAGCTCATCAAATAACATCTTTTCATTCAATGTCATTCCATTATGACACTAGTGAGAAAGAAAAATAGATTCCAGACTGGGGTCATTGTCCCATGGTTGTGGAACTGGCCTGTTCTCTCTATGCCTGTGTGGTTTTCTCCAAACATTCCCATTTCCTCCACCCCAGAAAGCACGCGTCAGGTTCATTGACTTGTCTCACTTGTTCTATTCAGAGTGAAGTGGGGAGTGTGCAAGGGGCCCTGCTGTGGAAGCAAACCCTGGCTCTGCTTGGGTCACTGTTTCAGACACAGACTGTGATATGACTGGGAAATGAATGAACAGATGATGGTAACATATTGCAAGTGTTGGGGTCTACAAGTCTGATGTTTTTATGACCAGAAATATGTCATGGAAACAAACACCAACCTCGTTTGTATCAGTTAACCTTTGATAAAATAGTTCTTTTGCTTAAAGTGAATTTCTAAGAACGTATTGATGATGGTATAGGTGGACTTACTGTATTTAGTATTTTATGTGGAAATATTTATTGTCTTTTGCAGTTGCTTCTCAAGACTGTATGTATGTATGCAGTTCTCAGGACTGCAATGAAATGCGTAGTGTAATACGACATCATACCTACCACTCTAGTAGGACTCTTTCTCTACCACAATGCAATTCCCTGCAACCCGGTGAATCTCTCCCCCCACGTTCTCCTCTGTAATCTGTATCCTTTTAATTATTATCTCTTATTCATTCATTTATTGGTTTTCACACCTGAATGATCAAGAACTAATTCCAGCTGGGTGCTTAGGGATCCGATGTGGAAAGCAAGCATGCATGTACTCCGGTCCATGAGTTAACTTACTAGAACTGATACTGACTAGTAAGTATCAGTTTAACTTTAAAGTATCAGTTTTTAACTAAGAAGATATTCTTAGTTAAAATTAAGAAATTATTTATTTAGTAAAGGACCCTTTCCTTTAGCAGGAAGTATTTAACTACATGATTTGGGGGGCGTAATGTACTCAGTTTAATACATACTGAATTTGCTGTTATTGTTTGGGGGACAACTTACTTACTCCTGCCTTGGCATCAGGGATCACTTATGGCATGCTTAGGGGACCATATGGGGTGCCAGGAATCGAACCTGGGTCCTTCAAGGCAAATGGCTTACCTGCTATAATATTGTTCTGAGCCCAATCTACTGAATTTTTAAAAAACAAAACACATTATCATGTATATTCTCACAAGGAAAATCTTTCTTCCTAATTCATCATACAAACTGCAGTTTCTAGCCAGTCTTTATTGCTAAGTAAATAAAATGCAAAAAGCAAACAAAACCCAATATCTCACACACATATATTATGACCAAAGTAGACATTAGGACTTGTTAATTATTGGGGAAAGGCAATAAAATTTATTGTACTAAGCAGAGAGTACCATTTATGAACCCAAAATTTAGAGATCAGGTAGCATTTCCATAACTAAACAGTACTAAAAATAAATAACAATTAAAAATAAATAGTACACTGATCATTAAGAATGGCAGTCAACTGAAAGTTTACTGATAACACTTTCTAAAATATGATATCTGAAAGTATGATTTAAGGATAAAGAAAGACTTTTTTTTTTTTAATCAAAGTTAAATTTCAACTGATTCCACAGTCACATTTTGCTAGGAAACTTAGGCTCAGGACTTAGAAACTCTTACTACTTAGTGATTTTGGTATGAAATATCACTAATTCAACTGTATTAGCAATAATTCATCTGTAGAGAATAACATTTAAAAAACCCAGAAAATGCTCATTTTGGGCAACAACTTTTTAAGAAAGTAAAAATCTCTTAACGTTCTAAAGTCATAGAAAATCAGATTCTATGTATTTTAAATATGGAAAAAATGAGTGGGAGTTTAAGTCTACATTTCCCCCTAAGAACACAGTATATCTCTATTTCCTGAAAACTATCTTGGAGCTAGCCAACACACAAAAATAAAATTATCACTAATATCTTGCTTTATAATAAGCCAATAATGTTATCTTAGCCAACATAGGAAACCTGAATTATGCCAGATATATATAAATATATCATACAAAAATTATGTATAAGCTTTGAGAGAGTAGACCTGAAGCCATTCTGTATAAATTAATGGCAATTTCAGTGGTGGGGAGAATGAAGGTACTTATTGATATCATGACATTTAAAAATCAAATGACATTTAAACTCAAACAAAAGAAAATAATACTAGCTTTTAAAATACAAGTTATAATGTAAAACAAATTTTTCAATTCAGTTGATTTTCAATGTTTATACATGCGATATAAATTACAAATAAATATGTATTACAACAGCTGAAAGAAAATAGCAACATATAAAATGTTTGATAAATAAAATTATTGCATTTAATGTCATTTTCTTCAAAACCCAAATCATCAAGTTCCTTCATGCTACAACAAACAGAAATACCATTTCAATTCTGAGGATGTATGCCAACACTGGTTTCTGACAACAAACTCCAGAAATGGAAGCCCTGTAAGTTGATTTGGCTTAGGTCAGTTAATCATGGAAACAAAGAAATATTTAAAATTGTTTATTTTATCATAATGCACACTGAAGAAAAGCATTATAGACAGCGGAGTTCCTTCCCAGCATAAATTATTTACACCGATTTGGCTAGAAACACTAGCTTGAAGAGGTACTGGCATATTACACTTGTAATAATTTTTCTAGAGCTAACAATTGTCTTAATGTTGGAATACATTAAAGAAAATATTGTCTTGTAGTCTCACTGTCTTGTCTGTTCTTTTGAGTCTCTATCACTAAGAGTTCCAGGTATTTTGAGAGAAACAGGGTCTGGTGGCCCGATGAACAGCATTAAAATCAAGCAGCGTGCTTGGATTCTGAAAATACTTTGAAATCCATACAAATGTTTCTTGGGGTTGGAGCTCTGATTTCTCCTACTGGCACTATGACGTTGGAAGAGCATCTGTTATGAAAGTTTCACACCAATTTTGTTTTGTTCCTTCTTCATTAGCCTCTGTGCTTCCTTTTCCATTTTCTTCCTTTGCTGTTCTGCTGCTCTCTTTTCTCTGTCTGCTATCTTCTGCTGCCTAAAAATGAAACACATTCATATATTTAGTATTAGAAAATGCCCCCAGGAAAAACAATAAATAAATTCCAGAAATAGCTGTGCCTTTTTACTATCGCCTTAAAAGTCTTTGTTCATCTCAATGCTTTGAAAGAACATTCAAAAGCAGCTTTCCAATATGGCACTTACAAAACAAGCTATTACTATTACCTCTCTTTTAAATGTAAGTAAAACGAAGTACAAAGGCTAAGCAACCTGCCAAATTCGCAAGATCGGTAACTACAAGAATGAATCCAAATCTCTTGGTTCCTCTTTTTCACATGATTCTTCACTAGAACACTATTTCTCTTGGACCATACCTTTCCGTACTATTCTCAAAAGCCTGATAGTGAGGGTGCACTCTCCTGTTACTATAGCATCTAAAAGCAGCCAGTTAGGGGATGTGAAGAGTTAGAGCTGTACAGAATACAATGCCAAAACTAAAATAAATAAATAAAAAGGAAACTTAGGCCATCTCCCAACTAGTCCTTGACTTCTGACCTGGAAGCAGTAAATGCTTCTGCCTTTATTGACTAATTGTGTGAGGAGTGAGGGGGCTGCAATGGGAGACAGTAAAGCGAAGAGCCGCTGGTCTGAGATGGGAAGGTTTCAGCTGTGGAGGGGAGTGGGCAGCATGCAGGGCAGAGGAAGCGGGCAGGAGGGCACAGCTGGGCTAGGGTGGCAACACTAAGTCATGCCAGTTACACAGGATGACCCCGTGGGGATGACTTGCACATGTACACAAAGATGCACACATAATTCTCTTTTTAAATTTTTTACACATAGTTCTCTTCTCAATCATACTGATCCATGGGAGTAGGCAAAATTATGAACATTCAACTTTTTTTTTTTTTAAAAAAAGGGAAATATTTTAGGCAGTATTTTGGCCATTAACAAGTTTCCAATGGAAAGTTAAGAAAATTGACCTTTTCTTTTTTTAGTACCTTTGCTCACTTTTAAGTAAAACAGCTATACTGCATAAAGAATAATGGAGTCTAAATGCCAGAAGCAAAGGGGAGAAAGGAAAAGAACTTTTGAAGAACTGAAGGAGGCACTTCAAATGTTCCTGTTACTAAAGGCAACGGAGACATTTCTGCAGACAGAAATTTATTTTTCCTGTCCAGATACCTTCCTGAAATCACTAACGAACCGGAACCTTCTTCCTTAATAACGCTCGCTGACCAGTCCTTAAAGAGGCACTGGGAACCACGTGGGAGTAGCGGATACAAAACGTGACTGAAATGCTCTCAAGGGTTCTTCTGGTCACACAGCTAACCAATGGAAGATTCCCCAAAAGTTCTCTTTCTGTGCAACTCGCAGCGCAAAACACATTTATTATCAATTAATAGGCATGCATGCGCTGGCATGCAAAATGCTTAGTTTGGGGTATTTTTTGAGGGGTGGGGGGGCTAGTTTGTTTTCAGGATAACAGGACAATGAGTAAAAAAGGGTTGTTTATTTTTAAGCCAAAATAATTTTATTGAAAAATTTAAAGAGATTTGAGGAGCAAGAGACAGAGAGAGAGACAGAGACAGAGAGACAGAGAGATAGAGGGAGGGAGGGAGGGGAGGAAAGAATGGAGGAAAAGGGAGACGGGGGGGGGGGGGAAGAGAGAAAGAAACAGAGACAGAGAGAGACAAAGGGAGGGAGAGAGGGGAGGGGGAGAGAGAGAGAGAGAGAGAGAGAGAGAGAAAGAAAGAGAGAGAGAGAGAGAGAGAGAGATGCAGGTTTCACCAGTTCACCAGAATGGAAAAAGCCACAGCGATGTTTTTGCACAACTAATGTTAAAAACTTTTGAGCTCATCCAGTGTCCAGAGGCTTGCCAGCTTCCTTGTAAGATCCCCAATGAATAGTCTGACCTTTTTATGCCTATGGTTAATGACACTAAGAAACATGAGAATCCCCCAAAAGTTCTAAAACAATCAGACTTCTATATCTAAATTTTATTTAAAATAGAGTAAAAAATGGCTGACTTAACTTTTCTGATGATCTATACCATAGAACAGTTTCCATTTACTAATTTTAAAATACTTACAGGCCAAGGATATGGCCTGGAGGTAGAGTGAATACTTCACTTATGTCAAGTTCTGGATCTGATCTCATACTCACAATCACAAACAAATCATCCTGTTATTCGTCGATTGCCTCGAGCAGGCCCAGTAACGCCTCCTTCATCCTAGCCCTGAGATTATATTCAAGGCTCTTTAGGAGAATGAGACCCATCATTGTTACTGGTATTTGGCATATTTGGTATGCCATGGGGAGTTTGCCAGACTCTGCCCTGTGGGCAGGCTACATTCGATAGCCTGCAAGTTTGTCCAAAGTAGGAATAAGATGTCATAATAAGATGTCCAAGATCTCCAAGCCTACTCGGATTGGGGCTGAGCATCCTCCACCCAGATCCTCCAAATTCCAGTAGGCGGGGGTCACACCCACCAACTGGCCCCCTGGCGCCATGTAATCCCATCAGCGGCCAAGACTCAGAGACTATAAAAACCAGCTCCCGGAAGAGAACAGTGCAGTCTCCTGCCCCCGCGCCTGGCTGTCCTCGCCGGGACCCCTTGGAGGGGAGCGAGTTGAGCTTTCCTCCCCGCCCCGATCAGGGCTCCGGCAGCCGAAGACCTCCAGGACCAGCCACCACCATGCTGAGACCACTCTCCGCACACATGAAGGTACTGGCAGAGGGACAAATCCACTCGGGTTCCGGGGCCGAGATCTCCAAGCCTACTCGGATTGGGGCCGAGCATCCTCCACCCAGATCCTCCAAATTCCAGTAGGCGGGGGTCACACCCACCAACTGGCCCCCTGGCGCCGTGTAATCCCATTAGCGGCCAAGACTCAGAGACTATAAAAACCAGCTCCCGGAACCGCGTGGCCGCGAATGCGGGTTCCGGGGTCGAGATCTCCATATTACCAAAAATAAAATTCCTTTCAACTGACAAATGGTAAATAGGAATAGCTGTAAAAGATTTTACAACAGACAACTTCACTCACACATTTTGAAATTTGTGATCCCTCCCTTGAAAGAAAATTTAAAAAAAAGCTGAAAAAAACGAAGGTAAGACCAGAAAGTCAGCTGTTACTGGCAGTTATTTAACTGCACCCTCTGCTGGCTGCTTAGGGAATTATTATTTATTGATAAGAGAAAGGAACACACACACACACACACATACACACACACTAAGGTTTTTTTTTGTTTTGTTTTGTTTTTTAATGGAGGTAGGAAAGGGAATTCACTTTCTATTCCGATAACAGAAACAATCTTTGAAAGTATAAAGAACTTAAGTGGCTGTGGCCCGGGGTAGCTCAGGGGCTAGAGCACATGGTCTGAATGAAGAACCCTGGGCTGGCTCTCCAAGAATATCCGGAAGCAACCCCTGAGCACCGAGTTGGCTCAAAAAATCAAGCATAAGGTCAACCTCTTCCAACCAAATTTTGTTTTACTGTATCATAATGTTTTGTTTTAATGTATCATATTTAAATAAAAAAGTAATGTAAATAAAATCAATAAATGTGTTTTAAATCACTAATGAGTTACAAGCCACTATTTTTTTCATGCAGCTGTAGCAGGAATAAAGTGCATTAGAATGTAATAACTAATGAAAATTAACTTGAAAAGCTCCAGAATGGCGCTTTCTTTGCTGTAGAATGAGCATTGGGGGGGGGGGGGGGGGAGAGACAGACAGACAGACTGGCAGGCAGACAGACAGACAGACTGAGACAGAGAGCCATATATGTTATTTTCATTCAAATGTGCAGTACTGGGCACAACGTTAGATCATGAGGAAACAAAATTAAGGTATGTGTTTTTCTTTTTCTTTTTTTTTTGTTTTGTTTTGGGGACACACATGGCTGATGGTGCTCAGGGCATACTCCTGGATTGATACTCAGGGGTCACTCCTGGTGGTGGTTGGGGGATCATATCTGGTGCTGAGAATCAAACGAGAGTTGATGGTTTGGCTGGGTGAAATGTAAGCCCCCCCCCCCCCCCTTTTTTTGCTTTTTGGGTCACACCCAGCAATGCTCAGGACTTATTCCTGGCTTTGCACTCAGGAATTACTCCTGGCGGTGCTTGGGGGACCATATGGGATGCCGGAGATTGAACCCAGGTCGGTCGCGTGCAAGGCAAACGCCCTACCACTGTACTATTACCCCAGCCCCGAAATGTAAGCACCTTAATGCCTGTACTATCTCTCCTGCTCAAAGGTATAATTTCTAACCTAGAGGAATGTGCAGTGACGGTTCTGGGCTGGAGCGATAGCACAGCGGGTAGGGCGTTCGCCTTACAAGCGGCCAACATGGCCGACCCGAGTTCGATTCCTCCGCCCCTCTCGGAGAGCCCGGCAAGCTACCGAGAGTATTCGATATGCCAGACACAGTAACAACAAAGTCTCCAATGGAGACGTTACTCCTTTAATAGTAGATGATTTACAAGGAATGTAGCATAAAGCATATAATGCAACATGGTGTAACTCCTTTGTTATTAATAAAACTATTAATTCTTTTGATTCAGTAATGCTTTAACTTCTTGAGTCAATATTCTGTGAGATTTTTGTTTTGGGGCCACACCCACAATGCTCAGGGCTTACTCCTGGCTCTAGATTCAGGGGTCACTCCTGGTGGACTTGGGGGCCATATGCGGTGTCAAAGATCGAAGCCAATCTACTGTGTGCAAGGAAAGTGACTAACCCGTGTACTAGCACTCTGGTCCTTCTGTGAGAATTTTTACACTACACAATAACATTATTAAAAATAAGAAACAGGCCTGGGAGGCAGAAGCTACACATTTTGTAAATATGAGGTCTCCAGGGTTTGATTTCACCACCCTCACCCCTAACCAAAGGACAAGAATACACGTTAGTGAGGATACGGAGGAAAGGAAAAAACCCTCACACACTGAGAGCAGAAACACAAATTGGCACAGCCATTATGGAAAACAGTAAGGATATTCCTCAAATGACTTAAAGTAGAAATTCCATATTATCCAGTTACTCTATTTCAGGGTATTTTGTTGAGTAATATGAAATAGTATCTCAAAGGGATAAGTGCGCCCCAGGTTCATTATAGCTGCATTCTCAATGGTACCATCAGAATAAAGATACAGAAAGGAGAAGCTGTGGAAACAACCTCAGTGCACAATGGATAACGATGCAATGTAACACTACTCAGCTATGGGAATACGATGCAATCTTAACATTTCCAACAATATGGATTATATAGAGGGCATCATGCTAAGAAATAAGTCAAACAGAAAGATAAATCAGAGAAAGCCAAATATCATATGATTTCACTTGTATATGAACACGTATCATTTATACAGGCAGGACAAAGAAGTAAGCCAAATAAGCAAATAAAACAAAAGAAGACTGAAAATCAGAAAATATCCTGGTGGGCACCAGACAGTATGAATTAGGGATTAGGTGAGACAGGTAAAGGGAGGCAATTATGTCGTAGTGGATAGAAATTAGACATTTGTGGTGATCATGATGTCACAGTATAGATATTCCATTAGAATGGAATGAAAGGAATATGAAATTATGAAATTACAATGTTATAAATCATTCTGACTTCAATAAATATTTTTTTAAAGTACTCAGAACTAGAATTACTGGCCAATGAACAGGTCTATAGCAAGCTCTCAACAAAATCAGATTCCATTATTTTTATGGCATCAGCAATTCAGTTACATTTTATAGTTATATTTTATACAAAAACTCTTTGGACCTTCCTAGGTACAGAAGGGTTGATGTCTGTTTGTATGCAGATCATAATATCACAAATTAAAAAATTAACTTCTCCAACCTAGAAAAAAAATTCTGCAAGGTTTTAGACTATTATCATGCATAATAGTACAAGATTTCATATAATCTAAAGCTCAAATGAGTTAAAAAAAAAAAAGAAAAAAAAACATTTGGCAGAACAAGCTTCACTGACTTAAAGGCAAAGTGAGTCAGCCTAATTCTGCTACTCCAATTGCAATGTAAAGAGCATGCCAATACCTCAAAACTTCCTCTGCTTGCCAGGCCGCATCTTCTTCTTCTTCCCATGCATTGGTATTTTCCTGCCAGGTGTCTAAGTCACCTAATTCAGGCTACAACGACAGAAAGCAAAATTATGCAAGTACGGTACTATCCTTCATTCACCTGATGATCAAGAAGAATCTCTTTAAAAATGTAGCATGTCTTCTTGCCTTCCCTCAGCCTAGACTAGGCCCAGATGAATTGGCACCTGGCCTGTCTACACGTAAGGGGCTGGTTTCCTTTCTAGCCACAGGAGGCCATGGGCAAGTCCAGCTTTCATTCGACTTCACGCTGTAAAGGACACTCGTTTTATAGGACATTTGTTTACTTTTATCTATTTTCATTTGGAATGGAAACAGACAGACCATTTCTCCTTTCTGTTTCTCTCTTCTTCAGTGCAAATAAGGAGCAGGGCTGGAGGAAAGGGAGAAAAGATGATCCTAGAATGACCAACAGGTGTTTGATGGTAGATCCCTTTGCTGAGAAGATGAACTAGAAGAACAGAACTTTCTAGAACAGTGCAAAATCTGCAGAGGAGTAACTTAGGGATTTTCTTCAGTAAGACTTATTATTATTATTATTATTCAGTAGCTAAACAGTTACACCCTCCAACTGCCGTGTAACCCCAACAAAGGCCAGGATCCAAAGATTATCACAACAAGCTCCCGGGAGAGCACAAGGCAGAATCTCCTACCCTGTGTCTGACTATCCTCGCCAGGGCCCAACAGCTGAAGACTTCCAGGCCCCAACCAAGGCCTTACTGGAGCCACTCTCCACACACTTGGATAAGCCTCAGACATAACCGAACTGGCAGAGGAACCCAGGTGTGTGGGACCCGGGACTGAGATCTCTAAGCCTGCACGGTTTGGGACTGGACCTGTCAGTAGCTAAACAGTTACACCCTCCAACTGCCGTGTAACCCCAACAAAGGCCAGGATCCAAAGATTATCACAACAAGCTCCCGGGAGCGCGCGGCCGCATTTGCGGCCGCGTGACTATTTATTTAATAATTTTCCGGATACCTTAAATATCCTTAAATATCCAACCCACACGGCAGAGCCTGGCAAGCTATCCGTGATCTATGCCAAATAGACCAAATTGATATGCCAAATCCAGTAATAAATGGATCTCATTCCCCTAGCCCTGATTATGCAGAGTCGAGAAGGATATGGAAGGAGAAGCTGATAAAACACCAAGGCAGACATGGGCTGCCAAAACGCAGAAAAACAAAAATGATTGTCTGTACTTTTAATGCTCGTACGCTGGCATCTGCTGCATCCATTGAAGACCTTATGGTACAAGCACGAAAGATCAAGTACGACATCATTGGTCTGACCGAAACGAGAAGACATCAATCCCATCATGCTGTTTTCGACACTGGAGAAGAACTGTTCCTTGGAACATGTGATAAAAGAGGCGTCGGTGGTGTCGGTATCCTTGTCAACACAAACTTAGTCACAAGCATTGATTCATTTGAATGCCTAACAACCCGAATCGGACGATTACACTTGAATAAATGTGGCTCACTACCGGCAGTTTCTATCTTTGTTGTCTACGCACCAACATCCAGTTATGGTGAAAAAGAAACTGAGAAATTCTACATGGAGCTGGAGAAATTCTATAAAGAAGATCACACCTTCTACAAGATCATTGTTGGTGATTTTAATGCCAAGATAGGACCAAGAAGATCAGTCGATGAACTCCTCATCGGAACCCATGGCCTGGAATGGAACGAACAAGGTGACAGACTGTCTGAGTTCATCATGTCAACCAAAACCTTCCATGGTAACTCACAATTCCAAAAGGCTGAATCTAAACGTTGGACATGGGAGTCTCCCGATGGACGGTTCCACAATGAAATAGACCACATCATATTCAATCGGCGGTTTTGCCTAACCGATGTTGCTGTTGTCCCAAAATTCCAAACGGGATCAGACCACCGTCTTCTTCGTGCAAAATTCTACCTCACAGAACGAGGAGAAAAGAATGCAAGGTTTAAGAAGAAGACTCCCAGAACAACCACCAACTGGGAACTCTTTGGCTCTGTTGCAGCAACATGGGAAGATGCCGTCATTGACAACATTGATGAGGAATACGATCGAATGATTCAGCACCTCCATGATTGTGCAAGGAATGCCAAGAGAGAGATAACCACAAAAAACCGTCTTTCTTCGAACACTCTTGAACTTATTCGCCAACGTGGCGTGGCACGTGCCTCAGGCAACCACAAGCAAACGTCCGAACTGGCAAAACAGTGCAGAAAAGCCATCAAGGATGACCTCAAAAACAGGAGAGCAGCAGTACTGGTAGATGCAGCAGAAGCTGGGAAAAACATTCGTAATGCCCGCCTGTCCTTCACCAACTACAAAACCAAGATGACTGCCCTCCGACATCATGATGGATCTATCACATCTTCCAGAAGGGCAATGGAGAAGATTATTCATGAATTCTACTCAGATCTCTTTAATAGCCACATCCACTTGCCCACATACCACATACCACATGATGGATATGTCGTTCCCAATGTTCTCCCTTCCGAAATCCAACATGCCATCTCGTCGGTAAAGAAACAAAAAGCACCTGGCCCAGACAAGATCAGACCTGAACACCTGAAGAACTTACCATCAGTACTCATCAATACATTAGCTCGACTCTTCACACGCTACCTGTCTGAATGCAAGGTTCCATCCCAATGGAAAACCAGCAAGACTGTACTACTATACAAGAAAGGAGACATCCACGACATTGGCAACTATCGCCCAATCTGCCTATTGTCTGTCATCTACAAACTATTCACTCGAGTCATCCTGAATAGGATTAGCAGAACACTAGATGAAGGACAACCATGTGAACAAGCTGGATTCCGAAAAGGATTCAGTACCATCGACCATATCCACACAATAACCAAGCTCATTGAGGTATCTCGGGAGTTCAAGATGCCGCTCTGTCTAACGTTCATTGATTTAAAGAAGGCCTTTGATTCTGTTGAGACGGAAGCGGTCATGGAAGCCCTAGCCAATCAGGGCGTACAAACTCAATACATCAGGATCCTTCGTGAGCTCTATTGCGGATTCACTACCAAGATCTCACCATTCTACAAAGAAGTAATCATCCATATCAAGAGAGGGGTTCGGCAGGGTGATACCATTTCACCAAAACTCTTCAGTGCCACCCTCGAGAACATCATGCGACGACTAGAATGGGAAAACATGGGAGTGAAGATAGATGGTCGGCAACTACACCACCTCCGCTTTGCTGATGACATCGTTCTAATAACACCAAACATCAGCCAAGCAGCACAAATGCTGGCGGACTTTGACCGTGAGTGTGGAAAGGTTGGACTACAGCTGAATCTTACGAAGACAATGTTTATGAGAAACAGCCTTGTTCCTGACGCTCCATTCGCTCTCAACGGAACCACCATCTCCGAATGCAACAGTTATATATACTTAGGTCGAGAAATCAACATGATGAATGACCTGGCACCTGAGTTACGCAGGAGGAAGAGAGCGGCTTGGAATGCCTTCAAGAGCATTGAAGAAATAACTAAAAGGACAAAGAACCTCCAACTACGAGCACATCTCTTTGATTCCACTATTCTTCCTGCATTAACATATGCCTCAGAGACCTGGACCCTACGAAAACAGGATGAGAACACTATTCGGGTCTCTCAAAGAGGAATCGAAAGAACTATGCTTGGAATATCACGATTCACTCAAATGAGAGATAGAATCCGGAGTTCTGATCTTCGTCAACGCTCAAGAATCAGAGACGCTGTCTCATTTGCCAAGACATCAAAAATCAGATGGGCTGGACATGTAATGAGGTTTACAGACAACCGCTGGACTAGAGCCATTACTGATTGGATTCCACGAGACATCAAAAGATCACGTGGACGCCCACCTATAAGATGGTCAGACTTCTTCGTCAAGACCCTAAATGATCGGTTTGAGGCTCTACATGTTCCTAAAACGAACAGATACCATTGGGCTACGCTAGCACGCAACCGTGATGAATGGAGACGTTACTGGCACCCGCTCGAATAAATCGATGAATAACGGGGATTAAGTGATTAAGTGAAGACTTATTATCTGGATTCCAGGCAAAAAGTGACAAATCAGGCAATACAAAACAGAGAGAGAGAAATAAAAAGCTTATGAGAACATGATCACCAGGCTGGCTACTATCTTCCACACTCCCCAGACCAGAGGAGATTTTTCTTGTTTTCTTAAAAAAAAAAAAAAGTTCATTATGGAAAGTCTAATTGGGTATAAAAATGATGATGAACATAAAATAACTGGCCAATCTGTGAACAGAGTATAGTTTCTCTTGAGCATTTACATGAATAACTACACTGTTAAAAAAAAAATTCTAAAATATTTCTACATGTATCTGCTGTCCAAGCCCATGTGCTGCCTGAGGCTTGTGCTACCTGCATCTCCCCTCTTGAGATGTTCGCTTCCATATTTTAACACTGGCATGTGTACTGGGGCTCTTTCTGCACTCTGGAGAAGCCTATGTTCTGTCTTGGGTACATTACTCTCTCTCTTTCTCCATTCCTCAAAACTTCCAAATAAAACCTGTTATACTTCACTGCTCATCTTCTTCTGAAATTCTTTTAAAAATAAAACTAAAAATCCTAAAGTATTTATATCTGTTCAACATAAATTTTTTAAAATGGAATAACAAAACAAACAAACAAAAAGGCTTTGGGGGTCCACACAAAGTCCACTCAGGGCTACGCTGGAATTGATAATCTGCCTCCTTCCTGTGAATGAAGCTATAACTCTGTACCTCTCTCATTAGAATGCATTCTTCTGAGATACGTACACTGCCTATTTTGCTTTTCACTATACTGTTAGCACCAAACAGAGTTTCACAGGCAGAGCCATGGATCAGTGAATTAAAAACGTATGTTAAGTACAGAACAGAAAGAGGCCTCAGAAACAACTTTAATTTTTAACAAGATAAACAGATGTGGTGGTTTAAAGTCTTAAGTTCTTTAACACTTCTTCCTTCCAACGAAATTAAGCAATGTTTAATTCCATTTGCTTTGCATGTGGGCTGATTTAGACTGTCATTACTAAGACTAGTAATGGTGGTTTCAATTGTACATGTCTTCCCTCTATCTCCCTAACTCTCTATCAAGGAATAGTTATTTTGGGAAAGATAGCAGTAATGTTATAAAGAACTCAAGAGTGGGGCTGTTATACAGTAAAAAATCACTATTATAATCAATCAAAACATCCTTAAGTTCAGGTCTGAGAAAGGATCTAGGTAGATGTAAAATTCCAAAGTATATCACCATATTGGTAATATGATTTGATTCAAACATAAGCTGTGTTTTGAGGTCACATCTAGAGGTGCTCAAGAATTACTCCTAGCTCTGCATTCAAGAAGTACTCCTGGCAGTGCTTGTGGTACTACACGGGGTGTTAGGGACCGAACCTGGGTTGGCTGTATGCAATGCAAATACCCTGTACTATTGTTTTGACCCCAAAATGTATCACTAATATAGCATTATGTAATAATACATCATTATGTCATTAAACACTATTTTTGTCTTTGAAAATATTACATTTAAATCAAATCAATTTTAAGTCAAAATCAAATCAATTTTAAGTCAAATTTGCTTTATTCTACTTTCTGGAGGGAGGCTCTCCCAAAGCAGTGCTCAGATAGCTCTGGGACTTCTCCTAGCAATTGCTGGTTAACCTGAACAGTTTGAACAGTAGTTTGATATAAGTGCCCGCTGCTGGGGCCTGTGGAGTCTGGTGGTGCTAAAGTGTTCCAGGGCTACACACAGTAATGTTCAGTGGACCATCTGGCCTGGAGATTGAATTCGGTCAGGCACAAGAGTTGTGCCCTAACCCCAATACTAACTCCAAGGAGAGTTCAAAGCACACTTTAATATACTCTAATACACTTTAATGCACTCTACTAGGGAAACAAGTTACAGAATGCACTTAAAAAAAAAACTCCTTTAAAGTTAAACCTACTATTTTATTGAATATATATTCAAAGGTCACTTTTCTTTTCTAACTTTTTTATTGAATCACTGTGAGACAGACCATTGCAAAGTTGTTCATGACTGGATTTCAGTCATACAGTATTTCAAAGGTTATACTTTTGTTTGTTTTGGGGCCACGCCCAGCTGTGCTCCGGGCTTACTTCTATCTGCACTCAGGGATCACTCCTGAGCTGGGTAAACCAAATGGAGGGCCAGAAATCAAACGTATGTTCAGCTGTGTGTAAGGCAAGCGTCCTACCCACTATACTATTTCTCCAGCCTCTTAAGGTCATTAAATTTTAAAGTAACATTCTTACCTCTAGATTTTATTTCTGCTACGGCAATCTGATCTTAGGATCTGATATACTTTGAGGACTCGGCAAACTACCAATTAAATGCTCTCAAATATGTTTTGAATGGCAACAGAAACACAAGTTCATTTTTTTTATTCTTCAGAAAAGAAACAAGCCCTTCCCTAGGTACCATCGGCATACTTACAGATTGATGAAGAAAAGGCATATCTTGTGTAGCAGCTAATCTACTGGAGAAACCTGTGCTACCATCTGGGATGCCAAAATTTAATGGTTCTCTCTTCTTAATAATGATCTGAAAGATGAAACAGAATTGGGGGACTATTTTACCTATCACTATATAAACAGACAATATAATTATCTAATCAAAGTATTATGAAATAACAATACACTACCTCTATTCTGTGAAATGTATAATATAAAAGCTACAATAACCTGTTAAAGACCAAAACTTTCAGGCAACTGCCACATAAATCACTTACATACTAAGAAAAATAGCATTTGTATATATAATCCTCTTATTTCTTCTTTAAATTTATTAGGCACTTTTAGTCATCATACTAAGTAAGATGTACCATAGCGGGACAAAATTATGACCAGTTCTCAAACATATAGATGGTGAACTGCTATAAACGCATGACATTTCAGGCTAGCAGCTCTTTTAGGCTAAGGGCCCTGGCCTTACCCTGTGTTGGGGATCAAATCCTGGGACTCATAAGGCATTTTACTCTACCACTAAGCCACATCCTCTGTTTTATAGCTTCATTCTAATTAATTGATTAAGATGCTATTATAAGATGCTGGGTCCTACTGAGAGAAGCAATATACTTTAAGAATAGAAAGAATTATGAAAGAACTAAAAACTAGTATAAAATTTATTTGTAAGCTCTTTGAACAACGTAAGACTCAAATCACTTCAACAGAGATATCTACATAACTTAACCCAAACAACTGATTACAAGATATAAATGTTATTAACCTTTGAAGTACAAACATATAAATGTCAACACCATTATAAACACATCACTTTAGCAATAATAAAATAATATGTAAACATACATAGATATTATAGCACAGAAATTGACTGGGAGATGGAAGAGAGAATGCTATTAGAGGAATGTGAACTAATGTCCCCATCTTATAAACTATATGCTTGATTGAAATGGAACTTTCAGTTTTTTTTTTTCCTTGAAACAGAACAGTAACATATAACATCTGAAGGAGTAGGAAGAGGGACAGAATGAATTAAAACTAAGTCGTCATTTATCTTGTATGAAGTGAATGGACAATGTCTATGACTGGTAAATACAGCAATATAAGCATATTATATATAAATATGATGAAAAACATTAGAGGAAGCCCAAATAGCAAAAGTTCTGAGATTTGGGGGAGTAGAACTGACTCTACAGATGGTGAGGGCAGAAGTCTGCCAGCAGGCTGCTTATCTTTTTAAGCTCTTCTGTATTCACTGATTTGAAAAGAAAAGAATTTTATAATATAATATACATGCACAATCTGGAAGGTAAAGAAGCTATTATCTTCTTTTTTTTCCAGTAATCTCCTACATTTTTAAGTGATCTTCAATATTCAATTTGAAAGCTGAAACTGAAGTAAGTTTTCTCACAAGCATTAACTATCCTGCCAGATTGTGAAAAGCCATTCAAGAGCACAAATCTTTGTTTTTTCACACTTAAAGCTCTCTGAGTGACAACACTGTCACTGACAGGTTACATGTATAAGACACTCTACCACCACACCCTCCCCCAGACCTTCCACCTACCTTCACCCCCATCTCAGGTGCCCCTCCCCAACCACTCCCTCCTAAACCCCCAAACACAGATCATTAACATACTTTCTGAGTTTTCCGTATCGTCGGGGTCATGTCCTTAAAATAGTCAGGTTCCAATTGTTCCAAAGCATTCTGCTGGGCTGCCACATTCCCATTCCCTCCTTCAATCTTCACGCTTGTAGGCGCTTCTTCATCCCAGGAAGTCCATTCTTCAACATCTGTCTAATAATGAGCCAAGACCGTCAGCTACGGAGGGGCAACCTAACTAACATCTTATTAACCACTTATTTTAATAGCTTTACATAGTAGCTTTTTAAAATAGTGGTTTTCATTTTTTGATCAATACAAACATATCTTTTATCCCATACTAAAACTAAATCCAACTGAAAAAATTACCTTTATACTGAGACTGATATTCTGTTCTATCCACCAAAAAATAGAAACCAAAAACTGGGAAAATCTATTGAAGATTGAACTGATGCCAGAGTAGTCCATAAAAGGACTGAAACTTGTGATCTCTAACATAAACCAGGGTGCCTGCCTAATAAAACAAATATCCACACAATTAATAAGATTTAAATCGTAAGAGTTTCAAAAGATAATTCTCATGAAATGACCCAAAATTTTTCATTAAAGAACAAAGAATTCAATCTCATCAAAGATAGAACAGCAGGGAGGGCACCTCCTTGCACACAGCTATCTCAGGCACCCCAAATGGTCTCCTGAGCCCCACCAGGACTGACCCCTGAGCACAGAGCCAAAGAGTAAGCCCTGAGCACTTCTAGCAGTGACTACCAAACAAATAAAAAAGAACAGTAAAAAAAAAGGGAGAGAATAAAGAATTTTCAACTCATGAAAAAAATAAGTAGATAACTGCAAGATGATAGAGATGCTGGAATTGTGAAAGAGCTTAAAATAATTATTAAATGTTCTAATAAAAAAGTACTATATACCCTTGAAATCAGTGGGGGGGGGAAAACAAGGTATCTTAGCTAAGTAGCAGAAAACAAAAATGAGGAATTAAAGAAATGAGAACCAAAATATACAGGGTAACAGAATTTCTAACACTAGCAAAATAATTTCGCTACACAGTAGCCTGCTAATGGCCTGTGACTTAGTTTAATAAGGTTCTAGAACACTTCCTCAATCTTTGAAAAATACTTGTTTAATGGAGCTGGAGAATGAGTGTAGGGGTCAAGATAATGTAGGATGACATTGCTTTGTCCTTTCTCCCTTGCCACAGGAACTCAGGTTTATCACAGCGCTCCTGAGGCACTTCCATTCCATTGTGTTTATCTGTAAACTCTTCCCTATCCTCTCCTCCCCACCCAGTTAATCAGCTTTTCCCCTAATCAGTATCTGTTCATTTGTAAAGTCAGATCCTTCTAGGACACTGAAATTGTATTGTAAGTTAATATTGCCTTTCTCCTCTCCTTATGTCTTTTGAATAGTTTACTTTAATGCAATGTCCTTTTTGTATAGAAACAGGAAGACCGTTAATATTATGCTTTATAATTTAGAATTTAATTGGCTTTGAATATTATTCACTCCTGGGCATCTGCTTTCTGGACTTAAGCCTCAGTTGCCCTTGGTGCCTCGCACCCCAAAAGCAGGGTCCCGAAGAGGGACTGAATGGACCCAGGGCAAGCAGTGAGCTACCCTGGCAACAAAATGGGCCAGGCCAAAGTGCCACAATTTTTAACTATAAGAGCTTGATCATAGACAAACGCTGTCATAATCCAAAAGTAACGACGAGACTAGGACCCTGCTAGAGATACGAAAGACTATCTGGCCTGAGCACTGTAGTCTGAGATTGAGATGGCCCTAGGAGAGCAATTCTATAAGTTTAAGGTATTTCTTACTGTATCCATACAAAATGATTTATATTATGAATGCTTATATGTTTGTTGGACAAGGAGAGGAGAAGCACACCCAGGGGATTCCTTTCTAGGGTGGGTTGATCTGCTAAATGAGAATCTGTCCAAGAAGCAGCTTTCCCCAAGAGAAAGAACTCTATCCCTATTGACTGTGACCACACCTATGTGTAATTGTTACCCCAATGCCTCATGCTTTGGGATTCAACTAGACTGGAAGAGTGGGCTGGGAGATCAGGATCCAGACTCCAGAAGGAGAAGGAGAAAGGGGTTCCAGATTCCAGAGCCAGAAGGAGAATGAGGGGGGATCGAGGAGGAGAATGAAGTAGCAGGAGTGATGTAGGCAGGTAGACAGGGAGGGCCCCCTCCCGAGGCAATGACAAAAGCCAGCCCTGCAAAAAATAGGAAAACAGGAACTAAGGCTTGATAAGACCCTCACCTGGCTCCAGCAACAGACCCAAAGAAGCTCCTCTAGGAACAAAAGGCCAGGAAAGGAATTTCAAAGAAGACCATCACCACTCCCATCCTCCCTGGCAACCTCCTTAGCAACGGGACATTTACCTGGGGGCAGGTTGGAGGAACCCTATAAAGGCCACCTTGAACAAAGGAAGCCCGCGCATTTGCTGCCCGAGCCCATGTGCTGCTTGTGCCCACGTGGCCGAGCACATGTGGTGCCCGAGCACATGTGTCGCCCGCATCTCCCCTCTTGAGATGTGTACTTTCATGCTTTCGTGTCTAACTTTACTCTCTCACTCTCTCTCCCTCCCTCCATACCTAAAAATCCTCCAAATAAAATCTATTTACTTCACTGCTTGTCTACTCCTGAAATTCCTTTCTGCGAGGCGAGACAAGAACCCAGCAACCCTGGGTCCCAAGTGGCAGAGGTGGATGGGGAGAAAGTGACTGTCTTTCTCCTCCCCGCTTCACATAAGTCACCCGTGGGGCCCACCGACATCAGGAGGAGAATCAGAGAAGAATGGAGATGGGAATGGAATAAACTGCAACTAAGACCAAGCAGCCTGGCCCTCATTTCCTTCCTTCACCTGCCCATCACCATCAACCTCCCCGGGGTGGAAGAAGCTGCGTGAGACTACCGAACGCGGGCAGCGGGAGAGACAGACCGCTGCTGCGGTCTCTTTTTGAGTTTACACAGATAAGAACCTTGCACGGATGTGGCTGACAGCGATTTGATAGCCAGTACTGTGTATGATTTCCTGAGTACCAGCAGGTGTGAGCCGGGCACAGCCAGGAGTGAGCCCTGGGCACCACCAGGTGTGGCCCAAACACCTCTCCACCACACAAGCCCCAAATTACCTGTTTAGGAACTGATGAATAATCAACTGTCGTTGGTAAAGTTATTTGATCGCCACTTAATTTTCGTCCTCTCCCAGACCTAGAGCAAAAAAACAAACCATTTATTTCTAAAACAAAAACAGACCCAAGTCACCACTAGGGAAGTGATGGCCCAGGATCACCAAACTGCCAGGCGGAGGTGGCCCTGGACCCTCAAAGCACTCTGGAGAAATCACCACAACTTTTATATATCAAATGGAATTTCTGATTCTTAAAGCAATCTATGTTTCATAGGAATTTTCAAAAAGTACAGATGTCAAGAGTAAACCTATAATTTATGCTGGCATCAACCCTTTTTCTCTTTTACAGACAACAGTATCCATTTTGATCCAGCTTTACCTAGGGAATTTCTGGCCACCCTTCCTCAGCTCTGAAGCTTGAAGTATCCCTTCACTATTTTTCCGACTTCCCAAATCCTTTCCTGTTCCTGGACGTTCCAGCAATAACTTAAATTTCCCATTGTTTTCCCATTTAAAAAAATAAAAAGTTCACAGCTGAGGCAAAATTGGTTTACGAGAATGTAAATGTTTACTGTTTTCTGGGTACAAGGCTATCAGACCACATGTACCTCGCTTTCTCCGGCTCTCTATTTCATCTCCTCACCATCATGGCACTACCCTGGTCCTTTGCGGGGGAAGGCTCTGACTCTCCAGAGTGCTCCGGGGCCACCAGGGCTAAACTCGGGGTTGCTCGGGTGCTTGATTCATGTGGGGGGAACAAACTTGGGCACCACGTACACAGAGCATGAGCTACACACCTTTGAACTATCTCCCCAGCCCAGTCAATTTAAAGACTATAAATGTTCAATTCCATTTAATCCTCACCCATGTGGTTTTCAGAAAATGGCCAGAAAGACTCTACCCTCTACCCACTTGCAGTTCCGTGGCTGTATGAGAAAACTCTGGCCAGCAGACTGTGAGCAGAACCGTTACGAGAGAGCTGGCTGCTGCACTTCCTGCTTCACCCACCTTCCACTGGGGCAGCAGTCCCCTTCACTGCAGCATTAGGCCGGAAGAAAGGCCTAATGGTTCTATTCACTATGGAGTTAGACCCAAACAATTTAAAGCTTCCACTGTTTGCACTACTTAGTAGCTATCTGGGGCAGGGAAGAGCTCAAGTGGAGGTGGGTGTGCAAAACCCCGCATTCAGTCCCTGGTGCCGCCTGCCCTGGGCCCCTGTGCACTCCTAGGGGTGGCCCTGGTGGTTTCTGAGCACTAGCACTCCTGTTTTTCCAAAATGGCAATAAATAAATAAATAAATATCATGTTCAGTATTAAAGGAGCATGATGACTTCCTAATGGAAATGTGCGTGCCTGATAAGATTGTGTGGGCTGCTCAAACCTTGGAATGAGCCTGGATACCGCCACTCTTATTTTTCTGTTCCACATTAATGTGGTCCAGTCCTTGCTGTCAACTACAACCCAAATCCTAGCTTTCCTGAGATTACCAAAACTGTAGCTAAACTGACCTTCCATAGTGAGGAACATCCTCAGAAAGTGATCCTGCAGGATTGGATACCGAAAACTGGTAACTATTCTGGGCATGGAGTTTGTGCAATATTTTATTCAATAGATGACTATCACAGGCATTGTGAAAATTTGAAATGTTCCAGGGCAGCCTCGTAAGTTTTGCCCAGCCGGAGAAGCCTAACCAAAGCCAAGTTCAGGAACTCTAGCTCCAGGGCAAGGCACAGGACAAGAGGATTCAAGTCTCCAGGTAAGGGAGAATGACTGACCTGCCCTGGGCTACCTGCGCTTCTTGCAACAGTACTTGAGTGTGAAAAACACTTACTAGCTTGGGAACTCTAAGCCTTTATTCAAAATAACATTCATGAGGCTGGGGTGATAGTACAGCGGGTAAGGAGAGCACCTGCCTTGTAGGTGACCTACCCAGGTTTGATTATCAGCACCCCATATGATTCCTTGAGCCGACCACGAGTGATCCCAGAACAGAGCAAGGAATTAGCCCCTAGCACTGCCGGGTATGCTACTTAGCTATCTTAAAAATCTCACAATGATACAATTAACATATATAAAAGGCCTGTGATCACAGTAATTAAAGTTGGTTTACTTAAAACTGAAATAGTGTCAACTTTAACAGAAGATATAAACATTGAAAAAACTGAGCCTCCGCTTTCTACATGTGATAAGAAAAACTACCTAAAAATATTACAGATTAATGAATGAGTACTACAACCAGATACTCTGTCACGCTCCCCAACCCCCACCGACTCTGAAAGTTATTCAAAACCAGCAAGAAGATAAAAAGGTCAATCTGAACAGAAAATTTCTTTACCTGCATATTAACCTCCTTAGGAATGAGAACACTGTTGCGAGGCAGGTACAAACTTTAAATAGCCGAAACTGTGTGATAGCCATGGTAAGAATCAAAACCTACAAAAAATGTACAAAAAAAATATAGATGTATTATACCAAACGTATATCCATACCCAACTCTTTGAAATAGTCTAAAAAAGTACCATTATTACCTCTATCGCACATTCATTTTCCTTGGAAAGTACATAACCCAAATAATGTATGTACCTAATAACAGAATTATGGTAATATCATGAGTGATATCAAAACTACAGATATTTATATTGAAAAAAACATTTCTTTACTCCTATATTTCACAAGTGAGATGAAATAGACAAATTTCTTGAACTAAAAGAAAAAACTGTGTTTGGCATATTGAATACATCATGGGCGGCTTGCCAGGCTCTGCCGTGCAGGCAAGATACTCGCAGTAGCTTGCCAGGCTCTCCGAAAGGGGTGAAGGAATCGAACTCGGGTGGGCCATGTTGACTATGTGCAAGGCAAACACCCTACTGCTGTGCTATGGCTCCAGCAAAAAAAAAAAAAAAAAAGAATAAAAGATTGAAGCACAACAAAGGAAATATCTCTGAAAATTTCAGTCTCTTCTTAAAAATTGAATTTACAGTTGTAACCCTCCAGGTCCAGAAGGTTTTACTAGTGAATTATCAATGGAAATGTTACTGGGCCCACTTGAGCAAATCGATGAAAAACGAGAAAACAGTGCTACAGTGCTATTAAAATCATGTTTCCGCTGGAGTGATAGTATAGCGGGTAGGGCATTTAGCCTTGCATGCGACCGACCCAGGTTCGATTCCCAGCATCCCATGTGGTCCCCCCGAGCACAGACAGGAGTAATTCCTGAGTGCAGAGCCAGAAGTGGACCCCATACTCCACCCCTATGCCCCATTTTTGACCCCCCCAAAAATAAATTGAAAAATAAATAAAATCATGTTTCCTTTGTCAGGATTAATGAATATGCCAGTATTTCACCCAACTCTTTTACTTCTTCAACCAACAAAGTTACACTAACTTTTCTGCTCACAGAGAGACAATGAGCTAAGAAGAGTCACAATTAATAACCAGCTTACTATTGAAACCCACCTGCCTTGGGGAAGGAATGGGGTACAGGGAGTGGGCTATGCTCAGGGCTTACTCCTGGCTCTGGGCTCCGGGATCACCCTAGTGGGCTTGGGGGACCCATAAGGTGCCGGATATTCGATCCAGGTGATATAACACTAGGAAAGTGCCCTGCTCACTGTACTCTATATATATTATATATAATACATATTATATCTGTATTATATTTAACAAAAATTATAAACTATGTTGATTTTCCATGTGTGCCTTCTTAAAAGAAGAACTGGGAGATAATTTAATGGTGAGGTTAACAAAGTATTGCAAATGCAGGGGCCCAAGGTCCAGCATCCCATGACCACTGTCCCCAGCACTGCTAGGTGAAGCCCTGGAATCCATCAAGACCCCTAGACCCAAATGGCACCCTATCACTAGGGTCCAAGCCATAGGCTGTCTCCAGGGATGGCGCCCTGAGCATTGCTTAGAACTCACCCCCACCCCAAAAGGAGACAAAATTTAATAATTAACACATAATCAAATCTAAAGGAAAACAAATGTCCATTCTATTTTATAATAAAATACAGATTTGTTGTTAATTTTCTGTAGTGGCATAGATTAGTGAATTATAAGCCTTCCCCAAAATATATAGGCTTGTTCCAACACCCATCACCTTGGCTTCTGGAGATAAGGGCTTATGAGGCCCTCCAGGTCTCAGAGAAACTATTACTATTTAAAGAAAAAATATGATCTGGGTTTGAGGCTCTCCTGGTCTCAGAGAAATCATTAGTATGAATAAATATATATATATATATATACATACATATATATATATGTAGACACACACACATATGACTTGGGTTGAGAGTTATTTCCAGAAAAACTTATTTTTTTCTTAATTTTAAAAATCATACCGTAGGAGCAAACATCTGAAAGCAGGGTTTGTTCCACAGAGGCGAGCCCTCCCCATGTCACCCCAGGGCCCGACCCCATCCTATCCCATCCAAAATATGAAACCTCAGTTTGTCCTATTAGTTCTAAAATTTCCAGCCATGGGAATTCTCCACAAACATGTAGTTAAGTTTGGTCCTTTCTCCCACTGTCTCATGTTTATTTGTTTGCTCTACTAGCCCAAGAACCCAGAAGGCCAGAAGGACGGGGGAATATTTTCCCCTGTGCCCCTACATTAGCAATATTATTCAAAAATTATTAGAAAGATTAAGATCTCCCTGGATATACATGGCATTCTTGTATCAACAACATGCTACTTTAAAATCATATTTTATGTGAATTAAGGCAGAGAAGTATGCTGTTTTTTAATGACTCGGTATGAGCAATGACCTCCTGAAATCTAGAAAATAAGATAGTTTCCTCAATTAATGAAACATTACATTGGGATGAAAATCACATAGTTAAAAAAATAGTGGCCAGCTGTGAGGAAGGAGGTAGGTATGGAATCAGAGAAGAAAACTCAAATCTCTATCTCCTCAGAGAGGTAGGAATGCTAGTATACTTGACTACTATGCAGTATATTTGATGCATCTTGCATCGGGCTACAGAAGTTTAAAACAAAATCAAAGGGCTGGAGAGATAACTGAACTGCTGAGAGCAAGTTTTGCTTGAGGGAGGGCTAGGTTTTGATTCCTAGCATCAGATGGTTCCCTGAACACTAAGGTAGGAGGAATGGGAGCACTGCTAGGTGTGCTCCCCCAGTAACAAAATAATAACAAAACAAATATAATAATAAATACCCCCTAAGAAAGGAAATACAACTAGCACTGTAATACCTAGATGCTCTGTCAAACCACTACTAGCAGTCTCTTTTCCGAAGGTAAAACAGCATTTCTCTTTCTCTGAGTACAAAGGGCAAGTGGACTCTTAAGATACGGCCAGAATCCAAAAGGTTGCGTGAGCAATGCCCAGTACTTCTGTCCACGTGGAGGCAAGATGGCCTCTTGCGCTGAGTGGCTACTGAATGCCTCTGCATATGCCCGGAAGTGGCCTACAATGAGGATTTGAAACTCAAAGCGGAGTGAACCAAGAAAACCCGGAGAATTCCACTGTTCAAACAAACAACAAATATTTCTGACAACAAAATCACCTGTTAGTGATTTTTTTCCAGGCTTCAAACAATATGATTTGACTCTTTTTCTCTTATTTGCCGAGATTCAAGTGATCAAAAAAGGGCTTTCCCATTTATTTCCTTCTTCTGTTATTTGTAGGAGGTCACCAGCCCAGCCTAGCCCAGCTTATCTAAACTGTGTCAGACCAGGGCCTCTCACAAATCAGGCATGAGCTCCACCCCTTTGAGCTATCTCCACGCCCTCTTCATCTAATACTGCCCATATTCATCCCTGCTTCCACTTCAATCTCCCTAGAACAAGCTTTTATTATATCTTGTCCCCCAAGATATAACTTATCTGACATCTCCAGTTATCAATTGCAAAATAAGACCCAATAGTAAGGTCTAGGGAGAAGAAAGACCAGAACAATTAAGATAGGGGCGAAAAAAAAAAATCCGTCATTTTAAAGCATGGGAAAGTCATGAGAAAGCAAACTTTCACAAGTGATGATTTAGCCTACATCTTCATTATATGCAAAAAGAGAAAACTAGAACTTGAGACATGGTAATAGTTGGGTGGAAAGAAGACAGAACTGTGAAGATACATGATGAGGATGTTTTAAAGGGGAGACACTGAAGACTGAAGTTGACAAAGGGCAAGGTACACAGTTGGATATTAACCATAAGTGTTTTAGGCTTCATCAGTGAATTGCCCCTTATCTTCCTCCCAGAGAGTTGCTCTTGTTAGCATCTCTAATTTAAAGTTTATCTTTAGCCTTTCCTTTGTGTTTTACCTCTTATTGTCTTAGTTCCCCAAGTCAGTCTTGATTACCTTGTATTTGTAGTGCTTTGTATTTGAAGTGCTACGTACTTATACCTACTTTTCTATTTTCCCTGATGGCCTTTTTACATTTGACTACAGAGCAATGTTCTTTGGTTAAACGCAGAAAGACTGTTAATGCTATGCTCCTAATATCTGGGAGCTGACTGAGTATGAAATAAATCTAATCCTGGGCACTGGCCCTAATTACTTGACTCAGGCTTTGATTGCTATAGTGCCAAAAGGGAGGTCCCGCCGTGGGACTGGGAGGGACCTCGGGGCGAATGACGAAACTAACCCGGCATTGAAATGGGTCAGTCTAGAAAGCATAAATCCATGGTCTTGATGCAAGCTGTTATGACTTAAGAGACAGGACCCCCAAGGAGAAGGACAAACTGACATGGCCTGAGGAAACTTAGTCTGGGATTTATGTAAAAGCCTGATTGCTTTCTCAGAGCCCAAAGAACTAAGTTTGGGGATCTTTGTCTCTTCCTGTGTTTATCCAAACAACTGCAAGTATTGATAAGAAGTAAACTTAATTGTTTAACATATACAACTAGAGTCTTGGCCGCTGATGGGATTACACGGCGCCAGGGGGCCAGGTGGTGGGTGTGACCCCCGCCTACTGGAATTTGGAGGATCTGGGTGGAAGATGCTCGACTCCAATTCGAGTAGGCTTGGAGGTCTCGGCCCCGGAACCCGCGTGGCTTTGTCCCTCTGCCAGTACCTTCATGTGTGCGGAGAGTGGTCTCAGCATGGTGGTGGCTGGTCCTGGAGGTCTTCGGCTGCCGTAGTCCTGGTCGGGGCGGGGAGGAAAGCTCAACCCGCTCCCCTCCAAGGGACTCCGGGAAGGAACACCGAGGCGCGGGGGCAGAGACTGCACTCTTCTCGTCCGGGATCTGGATTTTATAGTCTCTGAGTCTTGGCCGCTGATGGGATTACACATTTTAGAGACTATAAAATCCAGATCCCGGACGAGAAGAGTGCAGTCTCTGCCCCCACGCCTCGGTGTTCCTTCCCGGAGTCCCTTGGAGGGGAGCGGGTTGAGCTTTCCTCCCCGCCCCGACCAGGACTACGGCAGCCAAAGACCTCCAGGACCAGCCACCACCATGCTGAGACCACTCTCCGCACACATGAAGGTACTGGCAGAGGGACAAAGCCACGCGGGTTCCGGGGCCGAGACCTCCAAGCCTACTCGAATTGGAGTCGAGCATCTTCCACCCAGATCCTCCAAATTCCAGTAGGCGGGGGTCACACCCACCACCTGGCCCCCTGGCGCCGTGTAATCCCATCAGCGGCCAAGACTCAGAGACTATAAAATCCAGATCCCGGAAGAGAGCAGTGCAGTCTCTGCCCCCGCGCTTCGGTGTTCCTTCCCGGAGTCCCTTGGAGGGGAGCGGGTTGAGCTTTCCTCCCCGCCCTGGCCAGGGCTACGGCAGCCGGAGACCTCCAGGACCAGCCACCACCATGCTGAGACCACTCTCCGCACACCTGAAGGTACTGGCAGAGGGACAAAGCCACGCGGGTTCCGGGGCCGAGACCTCCAAGCCTACTCGAATTGGAGTGGAGCATCTTCCACCCAGATCCTCCAAATTCCAGTAGGCGGGGGTCACACCCACCACCTGGCCCCCTGGCGCCGTGTAATCCCATCAGCGGCCAAGACTCAGAGACTATAAAATCCAGATCCCGGAAGAGAGCAGTGCAGTCTCTGCCCCCGCGCTTCGGTGTTCCTTCCCGGAGTCCCTTGGAGGGGAGCGGGTTGAGCTTTCCTCCCCGCCCTGGCCAGGGCTACGGCAGCCGGAGACCTCCAGGACCAGCCACCACCATGCTGAGACCACTCTCCGCACACCTGAAGGTACTGGCAGAGGGACAAAGCCACGCGGGTTCCGGGGCCGAGACCTCCAAGCCTACTCGAATTGGAGTGGAGCATCTTCCACCCAGATCCTCCAAATTCCAGTAGGCGGGGGTCACACCCACCACCTGGCCCCCTGGCGCCGTGTAATCCCATCAGCGGCCAAGACTCAGAGACTATAAAATCCAGATCCCGGAACCGCGCGGCCGCATTTGCGGCCGCGCGACATCTTATTATCTCATTCCTACTTTGGACAAACTTGCAGGCTATCGAATGTAGCCTGCCCACAGGGCAGAGTCTGGCAAACTCCCCGTGGCCTACCAAATATGCCAAATACCAGTAACAATGATGGGTCTCATTCTCCTAAAGAGCCGTGAATATAATCTCAGGGCTAGGATGAAAGAGAAGTTACTGGGGCCTGCTCGAGGCAATCGACGATACAACTAGAAGGAAAGACAAAAGCAATGTAGATGTCCCTGGGAGACAGAGCTTCTCCTCAGTTAATCTCCCCAAGAGATTTACCTCTGCCAAATGTTTTGCATTAATCTCAAGAGAACTGCCTCTGCCAAATGTTTTAATCTCTGTAAATGATCAATCACATCTATGTCCTATACTTCAACCCCCCTGGATGTTCTATAAGTATGCTAGCAGCTCTGCATTAAACGGGCCGTTTTCACCATCAGGCTATGGTTCCCCGTCCGTCGCTCTTCTGGGGAGCCCCGGGGAGGCCTGGAGGCAAGGCGGAAGGCATGCATCACGCAGCACCCCCACACTCTGCGAACTCACAGTACACTTTAGAATATGCATGCACAGATAATTGAGAATAAGTTCCATGGTCATCACTTGCCACACATATTATCATAGATCATTGTGTGTCCCTGTTCCATAGTTTGTCAACTCTAATGGTTTCAACCAGAAATCAAGAGCAAAGATTTTTCCTAACAGAAAAATAGAAGGTAGAGCTGTTACTGATTTGTAGAATTAAATTTTTCCCTAGCAATTATGAATATGCTCATTTTATGAGGCACTTGCTCTTGCGATAAGTGAAATGGAGGGATGAATAAGTGATCATATTTGCACATGGTATAGCCTGATATGTGAAGCATGATATCAATATTATCTGCTATCCCACAAAACATCTTATGAAAATGCAATTATTTCACAGTCCTGAGGCAAATGTTTCCCAATTACCACATCCAATGACTTGGATTCAAAACTCGGTCTAATGAATTCACGAGCTTAGACTATCTCACTAACAATAAACATTCCTAGTGACTGTTTGTTTGGGGGCCACACAAAGACAGTGCTCCAGCTTACTTCTGACTCTGCTCTCTGGGAATACTCCTTGGAGGGCTTGGGAACCATATGGGGTACCGAGGATGGAATCCGGCTTAGATGCAAGCAAGAAAAAAGGCCTAATGCACTATACTTTCTCTTCAGGCTTAAACACTCCTTGTAACTCTGGATGACATTCTAATGACCAAAAGAAAACTTCTCACCTGTAGCACTGAAATAAAGACAATCCAATTAGCTATCATGCAACACCTTTGATTTCATCAGTTACAGTGATTTGCAGGCAGGAATATATTTTTTTGATCTATCTTAAAGTTCCAATTCAAGAGTTACATGTATTCTATTTATATCACCTACATATGCTATGTTTTTAACACCTGATTTGTAGCAATGTTACCCTGAGGAGTAACTCTCACCAAGTCTAGAGAATGCCCTTCGCTGTCAGCTGTCACCATCTGGTACACAAGCTATGGAAAATGTAAGAGTAACCAAGGAGCCACACATCCCACCATCAGTTTCCTTTCACAGTTTCTAGGTTTGAGTCAACACAAGTACAGGGTAGGCAGTCAAATATTTGTTGAGTGAAGGAAAATGAGCATTTCTGAATACTCAATATGTTCATAACACAGTTCTAGACAACGTAAGTTCTATCCGAAGGACACAGTGAATTTCACTATTCCCATGTCACACAGTGGACTATTCACTCATTTTGGACCAAAGGCCAGAGCCTCCATACACCAATGAAAAAATCCTTTAATCTTATACTCGGCCTCGTTAACGGGGATTTTTTTAGCCTTCCAAATCACCTCTCTTATTGATAAATATGCGTTTTCGGCTAATTTGCACCATGGTTGCCCCAAAGTGCTTTCCGAATGGAGAAATGCGAGTATAATCTAATCTCTAACAGGAATTAAATAAAGCAGGTAACCTGAGATACAAAATAAGGTTCAAAACCATGAAGAACCCTAACCTTTTAGGGAGGATAGTTTTAGGAAGCCAATAGGAAAGACAGTTGCTATACAGATTCACATGAAAGGAATTTAAGTATAATTTCTAAAAAGAACCGTTCAGCTAAGGTAAGATTATCTTTCCACCTTACCCTTCCATGTACATTGCTGGCGAGATCCTTTCAGCAGTTATTAGATCACAGTTTCTCCAGCAAGTCAAGACAAAGATCTATGTCGATATACAAACGACAATGACCAGGTATCAAGGGTTGTACTTCGCAGTCATTTTTGAGAATTTTTAATACCAAGATAGGTAAAAAAAAAAAAAAGTATGATCGAGTATAGGTATCCACCGACTGTGCGTAACTGGAAATTACAATAAGGAATACAAGGCGCCAAAATAATGGCAATTTTACCCGAACTCACTAGAATTTGCAAAAGCAAAAGCTCCTTAGGGAAAAGGGGGGCTGTGATGGGGAAGGGGGAGGCGAAGACAGAAGCGGAACCTGGGGAGGGTCACTCGCAAAGCGGAACATTCCAGACCATCCCTGGCCACTCAAGAGTCTGGCCGTCAAAAACGAGGCACCGCTGACGCTTAGAGTTGAGTCTGAGTCAAAAGCAAGGAGCTTCATAACTACAAAAATAAAAATGAGTGCTCTAATCTCCCTGAAACGGTTGGGAGGGGGACATAATAAAAAATAAATAAATAAATAAATCATACCCACTATACAGATGAGCAACTCCCCACCCCGGACCCCCAAGAGCGTTTTCCGGTTACACAATTCAACGCCATGCGCACAGCGTTTGGTCCAGACGCTAGAAATTGCTGGCCAAGGGTGCCAGGTGGGCTGGCATTTGGGAGATTTCTTGCAAAATCCTGCCCGGGCAGGAGCGAGGCCTGGGGAAGGCGGGCAGGAAGGACGGGCTAACTTCCCGGGGTCAGCGGCGCGCGCGAGGGCACTGGTGGTGATGGGGGGTGGGGGTGGGGTCTGCGTGCCGGGTGGTCCACGCGTGAACGCGGCGTGGCTGGGGCTGCTCGTCCCGGGCCCGCGGCCGGCGCGGCTTCCCTCGGCCCAGAAGTCACCCTGACCCGGAAGCAGTACCCCGGAGTGGCAGCCGGCCGCGGGGAGGTGGGGGGGAAGCCGGCGGAGGGGGACAGACGGGAAGGTAGGCGAGCGGGCAGTACGCGGCGGGGACCGGGGCCGACCGGGGGAGGGTAGCCGACACCCCCACCCCCCACCACCATTCCCGCACGGTCCGGGGTGGGGTGGGGAAGGGGGTGGGGGGGAGGAAGCCCCTCGCGGGCACGCGCGAGCCGCACACACTCACCTGCCCCTCCCCCTCCCCGCCCGCCCGGCGGAGGCTCCGAGCTGCCGCGAGCCGCGCGCGCACGGAAGGCGCGCGCACGCGCGCCGCCGCCGGTCGCTTCCTCGAGCTCGCGCCCCGCCGGCTCAGTCCCAGCCCCGTTCATTCAAAGCCAGGCGCGCGCCCCCTTCGCAGCCGCCTTTGCCGCCGCGCAGCCGCCATGGCCGCCCCCTGCTCGGGAAACCCGCCCCCAGCTCCGCCCCGCTGGCCCGGAGGCGGCTCTCGAGGTGGGGGGCGCGGGGGAGGGCGGTCTCCGGGCCCCCACTTCCGCACCCCGCCCCGACTCCCCGCGGCGCCCAATAGGAGGGAAGCGGCCAGTCGGGTGCTGGGGCTGAACGTCCAATGAACGCAAAGGGGCGGGGCGACCGGCGTCCGGTGTTGCTGCGGCGGAAAGCGGCAGCTCGTGGCTGCTGTGTTTGTGGCATTTGCGGGCTGTGTGAGCGGTAGCCCGTTGGGGAACGCTTGGGCAGGTTTGGGGTTCCTCTATAACTTCCTACACGGTGCCTCTCGCCCCAGCCATGTCCCTTTTTATCTTCGGCCTCATCTTGCCTGATGAGACCGAGAGAACTGCTTAAACTGAGTGAGTTTAAAACCAAAACCCACACTTTTGGCCTCATTTGTAGAATCTAGTCATTCCAACACCTCGTAGGGTCAAAATGTGCGAAATTAGATGTGAGCCTCGTCCTTGTAATTTTTAATTGCATTTTCTTTAAACTGGAAGTGGCACTTAACCGGGCCCCCGCATTGCTGTCCAGATGCAGCATCATTAGCTATTCCCCCAAATTAAAGTGTTTTTTTTATTCTACCATTTCCTTTTCAGCCTGTTTTTTTTTTCCTTAGTATGTCTGCTACTCAGAAATCATGTATGTATAAGACTGGAGCAATAGCACAGTGGGTCGGGTGTTTTTGCCTTGCAAGCAGCCTGGGTTCAATACCCAGGATTCCATATGGTCGCCTAAGCACAGCCAGGGGTAATTCCTGAGTGCAGAGCCAGGAGTAACCCCTGTGCATCGCCAGGTGTGACCCAAAAAGCAAGAAAAATCAATAAAAATCATATGTATATGTGTGTATCTATCTATATTTGCTCTTGTGAACCCTCAGGATGCCTCAAAATGATCTGCTCCATCCACCCTTTTTGTAGTTTGTCAAAAGCTTGATGGAGAAGGAGAGTTTATATGGTTCAAGTTTATGCAAATTGTCCACCAGCTTATGTTTTTCACATTCCACTGCCTTCCACCCACGTCCTTAAACAAACAAACAAAAAAAAATACAGCTGCCTTAGTTTCCTCATCAGTAATATGACCATAATACTGCGTTAGTCATAGAATGGATAAAACCGTGAAACTTCCCAGGGCAGAGCCTGAAATGGCAAACATTCAGAGAAAGGAGCCTTTTTTTCCCCTGCTGTTAACTCTACTATAGAAACTCCCAGCAACTGCTTTAAATCCACTCAACCTCCTGGAGACTTTTCAATATCTTACTCTGTTCCAATGCCTAAATTATAGTGATTCAATGTTTCCAAAGATTTTGCAGTGCCCAAAAGCCAATAACGTGTAATGGCCTACATTCTTCCCAGTTTTCAAAGTGCTTTTCCTGGGAGATGTATCTTTGCAACACGTGGTAGCCCCATGGTATTTTCTTCTTTATTATTGTATTCTTAAGTTTTCCATTCCCAAACAATATATTTTAGCAGAAGCAACTAGTGAGTGAACACTTATTTCCCCACACAAGAGCAGGTCCAAAAGAAAATTTGCTAAATAAGTGGAATCTAGGGATACAGCTCTAGGGCCATCAGACATTTAAGTGCTGCCAGTGCTATTAAAGCACCCTTCAAGTCGCCCCTCAGACCCACTTGAGAGTCACTGTGTGGGAGCTGGGCCTTATCAACTTTCAGGGAGCCATACATTAGATTCTTTATAGGAAGTGCCCTTCTCACCTCCTTCAGACTCTTGTTTTCAGCCTGCAGTTCTCAATTTCAGAAGACAGTGAAGTAAAATAGTTTTATTGAGGAAGGGGTACTAATACTAAGAAAAGTGTGACTTCTCTCTCAAGAGAGACACTGAGAGAATTGGGGGGCGGGGGGAGTGGGAAAGTCCCAAGGTGAAGGATGTTTGAACCCTTGAAAGAGAGCCCAGGCTATGCCAAAGTGAACTGCACCAAGAAGGATGTTGCACACCCAGTGGAAAAGAATGTGGGAACTACAAAATGGAATACTCTCTTGTTTCTTCGCAAAATCCACTGTGTTTGGTGTTTTTCCAAACTGTTTCAGCTTAGACTGAGAGTATTCTTTGGGGATGAGGGGTGATGGGGACACTGGTGCTGGGAGATGTATACCGGTGGAGGAATGGGTCTTGGAATCCTGTATGACTGAAACCTAATCATGAACAGCTTTGTTAGGGTCTATCTCACTGTGATTCAATAAAAAAATGTGTGTGTGTGTGTGTGTGTGAGAGAGAGAGAGAGAGAGAGAGAGAGAGAGAGAGAGAGAGAGAGAGAGAGAGAGAACTTACTTTTTTTTGATCTTGGGAGTTTCTTTGTTCATCTTTAAATACCCCCAGGCTGTCTGATTTTAGGAGTAAGAAAGCTCCTTTATTTCGCTTTAGACTTGGCATTTGGCAAACTTTTTTTTTTTATTTGGGGGGAGGGTTATTGTTGTTATTGTTGCAATGTCTCAAGTTATCTCTTCTACTTCAAGTGAAACTATAAAATTTACTTTAAAAGAATATTTTAAAATTAATCTTTATTGTCGAGTAGTAATAGTCCCATAATGGATAATCACGGGTGCCAATAATTAGGGATCTTGCTTGGGAATGTCTGATTTTAAATTCTGCCCACGTTGAGACGTTTGATCTGTGCTTTTGCCCAATCCCCAAATGTCTGGTTTAATTATTCATCCTATTAACTTTCAATCCACCGCTTTACTTTCCCAGTCCAAAGATGTATGACTTTATTGTTCTGAGTTCTCCAGAAAGGTCCGACTGTTGTTAACTCACCAACTATCTCTAACCGTGATAGAACCAGCCTTGCAAACACAGATTAGTCCTTCCTGATTTCCCCCAATCCAATTCCCTGACTTCACTAAAGGGATGTTTTTTTGCCTCCAGCATCTGCTGCTCTGACTTGGACTTTAATGGATTTTTATTAATGAGCAGCTGTTCGTGGTTGAATACAGATCATAAAGTCACATTTCTTGATTAAGCAAAGCAAAGCTTAGTTTATTAGTGAGAAGGAGATCCGTTTGAAAACAAAGGGCTATCTGATTATAATGTAATTTATTGTTTTATTGACTTCTCTATTTGTGATAAGTTTGCGTGCTTCCAAAATAATACATTTTAGTTTTCTGGGAAAATATTCCATAATCAGCAGTAAATTGTTAAAGGGGGAACACACACACACACACACACACACACTCACACACACACACATACACACACAAAGAGTCCAAGGCTGCATTTTATTTCCTTTTTTATTGAAAAGAAAGTTAATATACTACTCAGAATTGAAATATTTTCCATCATAATTACTATAGTATATCTTAAGTTAGTTGTATCATTATTATTACTGATGCAGAAAGATTTAGGTTTGATGAAAACTTAGGTTTAACAACAGATCTCGAGAAGAGGCCAGAAAGAAATGGAGAAATACAATCTATGTCCTTTACTAGAAATATATTCTAATAAAAAGATGGTATGAACTTTGTTTCTCTGTTGCAGAGGTTCCAGCAATGACGTTTGATCTGTGCTTTTGCCCAATCTCCCCTTGCTCCCTCTTGGCTAATATCCACAAGGCTACTAGAGTTACAATTCAGTTGTGCTATGAGTTAAGTAGACTGGGTCAGATATGGTAATCAAATGCCATCATTTAAAAAGACAGAAGTGTTGATATTTATGTTGCCCTTTTCATTTCATCGGTCCTCCCGTTGTTCGTCGATTTGCTCGAGCGGGCCCAGTAATGTCTCCATCATGAGACTTGTTGTTACTGTGTTTGACATATCGAATACGTCACGGGGAGCTTGCCAGGCTCTGCCGTGCGGGCTCGATACTCTCGGTAGCTTGCCGGGCTCTCCGAGAGGGGAGGAGGAATCGAACTCAGGTCGGCCATGTTGGCCGCTTGTAAGGCAAATGCTCTACCGTTGTGCTATCGCTCCAGCCCGATATTTATGTAATCAAAAAAAAAGTAAAATAGTTTATAATTGGCTCATCTTGCATATGAGTTGAGACTTACAAATAAAGCTGCATTGGGTTCCTGCTTGTAACTGGACAAGTGGGAGCATCTGCCGGGGCTTCTGCTTGTCCGTGTCAGAGAATCCACCCATTTCTTCCTCTTCTCCAGCTGCCATTAGCTCTCAGAGCACAGATCTCTCACAAAACTCTAATTACCACTGGTTATACACCAAGCCGGAGCTGGAGAGATAGCACAGTGGGTAGGGCGTTTGCCTTGCAAGCGGCCAACATGGCCCACCCGAGTTCGATTCCTCCGCCCTTCTCAGAGAGCCCGGCAAGCTACCGAGAGTATCTCGCCCGCACAGCAAGGCCTGGCAAGCTACCTGTGACGTATTTGGTATGCCAAACATAGTAACAATTGTCACAATGGAGACGTTACTGGGCCCGCTCGAGCAAAATCGATGAACAATGGAAGGACAGTGACAGTTATACCCCAAACCATGTAGCCCTGTATGCTGCCATTCTACAGCTCTATTCCTCACACAACACACAGCACACACTTAGTGCCCCCACTGTGAGCCCATCCCCATCTGTCCATAGGGACTGCATTCTCTTAGTACCTCATTTCTAGTTCCGTAAGCTTTTCTGTAGAAAATCACAAAGGCAGGGGTGGTGGTAAGATACAGCATCTCAGACTGAAGCAGAAGGAGAGGCAGGGTGAAGATGGTTTAGAAATTACCCCTGTAATCTACACATAATGACTGCCCAGAAACAGTTCAAGTTCACTGGGAAAGGCCTGCAGGTAAGAGTGACACCCAGGTGAACCCCTCAGGGAACTTCCATGAAGGCAAGCCATAGTGATTCACCCTCAGAGCAGAGCAGACACAATGCAGAAGTTGTGTAGAAGTCCCACAAGCTTGGTAAGTGATAATTACCTAGAAGGTTCTGCCACTTCCAACCAGCTTTGGAACCTCTCAGATAATTGCTAGAGAGACACTGAAGAGGATGGTTAATGAGGTCAAAGA